AGTTCTTTTGATCGCGCACCATCACTGTCCACTACCATGCATATCTCCCAGAAGAGGTCCTGTATAATAATAACAGTAATTAGTCACAGATTAAACGCTGCTCTCATGTGCTAGTTCTTCGCCCACTCCTGTCGTACAATTACAAACGAGTGCTCCGTACTTCGCTGCAAACTACACAGCTCGTGGGCATGATCGATTATTCCCTTGCTGAAATGATACGTGGATAAATTGAACACGAGGACTAGAAAAAACATCTTTGCGAAGATAAATTCAGCAGTGGGCAGAAACTGGCTAAGAGGTTGAGAATGATAAAGATGATCTATACCATCTTCTGGAAGTTTGGGTCACAGCACAGAGCCACGTGACCGGTGAGCGGAAGCGTACGTAAAATCAAAGGCCGAGTGCTTTCTCGACATCCTTCCAACTCAGTTCTACAGATAAACGGAGGAGGTGGAAGAGGTTGAGAACTTCATGTAGCTCTGGGTAATGCTTATCGGTGGTGGAAAATAGGAGGAAATGGACCAACAAATCGAAACAGCCAATCATGCCGCACCGTTGTGACTAGTGGATTTTCATTCCCATCCTCACCTATGGGCATGAACCGTGGGCCATGATTGAAAAACTTCGATTCCAGATACAAGCGGCTAAAATGAGGTTTCCAAAATGAAACACTTGAGTCATGTCTCGACACTAGGAGTTCAAATATCCGAGAAAAGGTTTAAGTAGAATCACTGCGTCTAAATAATAAGAAGTCACAGTTGCCACGGTTTGATTACGTTTGGCGAATGATCTCAGAAAGGAAGGCGCAACAACTAGAAGTAGTTTGACCAACTGGCTAGAAACTTAGGGGAAGGCCAAGAATTAACTGGGACAAGTGCCTCGATGGACTCTTCGTCTGATTAAAGTTATCTTCTGCCGAAATTCAGATGCTGGAGCAGGACTGAAACCGTTGGAAGCTCTGAATTGCACTGTTGTTTCCACCATGCGAAAAGATAAGTGACCATAAAAACTCACTGATTGACTGGAGACGTAACAGGAAAATTTCGGTAAGGATCTTAAGACTGAAATTTCCAGGCAGATTGAGTTATTACTGCTGAGAATTATCAATCAGTCACATACAGGTAGTTTCCAAGAACGAATTACAGTTGTCAGTGTACTCTCAGCTGTCATGGTGAATGCTTTACATCATTCGAAATTAATGAGTAACGAGGCAACTGTGAGTCCTGCTACGGGAATATTATTATCGCTGATGGCAATGAAGACTAAATTCTGCTCATAAACCCTGAATATCGTCAGCATAAAGTTCAGAACAGTGATATTTGTATTGGTAAGCTGCAACAACACAATGACTTGATTTTACTTGGATGCACGGCAGCCAATGGACACCGCGGAGGTGTAAGTTGCTTAAACGATTTTTTAAATTTCTAGAAGCAAGGAGAGAGTGCAATTACGATACATAAATCCAGAAACCTGACACTTGCAACGAGGTAATGATAAGAGGGGTAAAAATGACTAGTATCTTTTTGCCTATACAACAGAATTGCTCATAATGATTTCTTGACTAAGGCAAGAATAGCCGGCCAAAAAGCAATGTCCACACTTACCTTCCAAAGAAATATAATCAAGAAAGTCTTTCCTCTGGTCAGATGATGACGTTACTTTACACTCGAAAAGTAACAGCAGTGCAGATGTTATTTACACAGCAACTGTCAATATGAAAATGAGGAAAGCAGACAAATTCTAAACAACAGACGCATTTAATTCTTTTCAGATATATGATGACACAAATGCACAATTTCGACAAGAACAGCGAGCTGTACTTCCGAGTTATGGCGATCCAACGAATGAGAATGACGCAGTTACACATCTGCACATCATCCATCACGCTTCGTTCAGTTCTTCCTTCAGACTTGCCAAGAGACGCCATTCTCTGTTCATAGCATAAAGAACATGTGAAACAATGTTCATCGCACTTTGTTCGGAGATTAACAAAGATAGTGGCCCCAATGTTTTCCTCCAGAGTTAAATCTTCGAATTTCTATTCATTTCTTCGACAAGAAATAGTTTGCCATCGTCAATGCCTTCAAAAATAACCAGCCGAAAAGCGGCCTGTAGTCTGATGATCCGCCGTTTGAAAGTAAGACGGTATCATGCTTCAATGTTGTTTAACGAGGAAACGTCGATCTTTGGGTTGTCAAATTATCTTGGCTTATGGTAGATTAACTTCAAAATGGCAACCTCCTAATTGGATAAAACGACCGCTTATCCATCATTCAAAAGAAAATTAGTTTTAGTAAATCAAGTGTAGAAACCAATTGACTCTTACGATCTGACAATATAACAAACGGGACATCAAATGAAATACCCATCGGGCATTCTGGAGGTAGATATCGATCGAAAATCTAGCCAAGTTTTTAAGTTTCCAGCTAAGTTGTGATTAACGCAAAACTGTCTGATACATCTAGAGACGGTCGTAAGGCAGTTAAAAAGGAACAAAAGAAAATAGTCCGAGTACGCTTCTTCGACCGCACTTCTTGACACACTTGGAACACACCTTGCAAAGTTCACGAACGCGATACTTAGGCGTTATCAAAAATTTAAACCTGCCTGCCGATAATAACCGATGAATAGACTCGCATGCCACGACATGTATAGCTAAGGGTACGACTTCAATGGTAATAAAAACTCGATATGAAGCATAAACAGATCCACTAAAAAGGGCACTAGCCCTGTGAGGGAAACAGGTCTCCTTAAGGATTAAATTCAAATCTATCTACAACGATCATTCTCTCGATACTGGCGTGGATGAACGCACTAACGTGATTTCAGTCATTTACATCCATGGATAACATAAATAATCACATAATAATAGGACAACAAATATACATTTATGATTAACAGATGAAGAGAATAACGAAGATAAGTATTTTAGTGATTCATGGTTCAGAGCACCAAACAATGTAGATAGTACAACAATTTAATGCCGACGCGTTTCGCTACGTATGCTATAGCATCATCAGGACTAGTCGTGCTGATGTTCGGTCCGGCTTATGACTAGTCTGGCAATGTTTGGTGCCCTGAATTACGAATTGTTCAAATACATATCTTCATAAGTACGGGCCCAGAATCGAAAACCTAAAGAAAAGAATAACGTTTGTACATCTGCTAAGGCTACCACAACGACTAAGTAAAGCAATAGTTTTCCAGTAGTATTTCACTGTCAATAAAAGTGTTATTTAATGCAACGGAGACATGACTGCATCCCAGCGATTTTAGTGAACAGTGTCCTTTAAAGAGAACAGGAAATACGAATGAGCGGCGAACAGAAAAAAAAATCTGTGAAATTGTGAAAGTAAAAATCGTTAACATTGCACTCACCTTCTTCACCGCCTTCACAATCTTGTCAGACTTGAGCTTCATGCAGTATCTATCCTTATGGCTGACGAGGGTGGTGATCTGAAACAACATAAATTAAGTAACATTTAAGAACATTACAAGGTCGCACCTGAGAAACCAATGGTACCAGAGTTCTTTCGATAGATTTAGTTTTTATTTCTAATGTATGAGAATCGCTTTTATTACTGGTATATGCCATAGACATAACAGAACTATGAAAATTACACACTCAATTACGAACTTCTACATCGCCTTACGGAAGAGCGACCGGCGAATTACCGTACACCCAATCATATGAATGATTTGCAGATTTCAACTAATAAAAGACTAACAATCAGTGAATATTTCAACTGTACTTTAGTTTCTACCTGCTCTTCTAGGGCAGTCCAACGATGTTTCGAGATGTAATAAAACTACATAGAGAATAAGATCTTCATTTACATCACTTTGCATACATAAAACCGGACAAAGTATGATGAAAAACATCAGCATTCCAGACAGAACTTACACGGAGATACTCCTTGTGTAAACTCCAATACTTAGCAATTAGCTGGATTACGATGAAGACAACATGATGAAAACAACGTGATTAAGATGAAAAAAATTAAACAGCCATTAGTGTCAAACTAGGTGGCTTACCTCATCCCCATTCCAATGGGAATATACAACAATACCAAGTAGTCCACATGTTCTCTAGCCAATGATATGCTATCCTTTTCTCGGCTGGTTGCAAGGAAGCAACGTTCAGAAATTTATTGCTGCATCGAATCGATTGTTTAAAAAATTTTACCGTTCACGGGAATAGGACTTGTCAGTTTTAGAGTTCAAAGGCAATTTCCATGCTATTCTATTATCATCACCATCATCTTCCATCGCCGCTTCTCCTTTCGGGTCGCGGAGGCAGACGCGTCAGAGAGTGCTTCCAACGTT